CACCACATCTCTATCTATTCTCTTGTAGCCAATTATCCACGCTACGATCCACTTGTCCATTTATACCACATCGTCTTCAGTAATGACCCGCGGTGGAGAAATATCCTCCGACTCCTCCTCCGTGAAACTCAGATGCTTTATAAGATCCGCAACCTCCTCAGACATTATACTAGTAGAATGGGCAATTGAAGGAGAAAACCCAATATCACTCTCACGCCCTTTTTGGTTAGCCAACACTTCAAACGAGACCCTCCAAAAATCAAAGAAAAAGATAGAAAGTTTTCTTTTGAAAGTGTGAAAAGTAAGATCAACCTCCTCTCCCCTTAGTCTCCTTACCCTATCCCGGCTAGCAACCCCCCCGACTTGACTAGATGATGTTGAATGTTACTTTCCCCACTTACAAAATCTACCATCCCTTAACAAAATTTTACAATAAAATATCCCCTCAAAATACCATCCAGAATATAATTATTTGAATATTCCATATCCCCGAATATAAGCAATCTCACACAGATTTTCCACCCTCTAGTCTTGTCCGTACAGTGACTGTAGAACCTGTCCGTACAGTGACCGTTGGAGCTGCCTACATGCTCTATCTGACTTGACATAAATCTCCACGACTGATCCCACCCGATCTCACATGCTGACTGCACAGGCCATAACATCGGGTAGTCCAGCCCCATACCGCATTGAACATATATTTCCTGCTTTACAACCTGCTGCCATCGAATCACATAAATAACTTGATCTTCCACACGACAATACCGCAACTGAAACTTAGATATCCTTGGATCTTTCCATTTAAAATACTTCCAATAATCTCCCCAAAAGCAAGCTACTATCCTATCATTAAAGGCCTTTAGCCTTTACTCTTCAATCGAGACTCCCCCAACTGTACTTGTTTGATCAATCCCTCTAAAATAATTCCCATAATCCCAACACCCTACGTTAGCTCCCTTAATGGACATCTTAACTTTATCGATCCAAATCCTTACCCACTTGCCAGGCTGTACTTCATCAGTTGCAAACGTGTAACAGCCTTTGACCTTTCCAATTTCTCCCTTCTACTTTTGGAACACCAACTCCGACCATCTTCTTCCTTTCCCTTACTGAAACTTGCTATTTTTTCTGACTCAAAGCTCCGCCGTTCTCCTTGGCCTAAAGTCCATTTTCCCCGATCATTTAAACTATGAAATCCTCCATTTCCTTTCATCCAAACCTCCTCTCATCCCTTAAAGAACCCTTTCCCAATAAAAAAAAATACAAGTGTTCACATAAGCCACACTTCCTCTCTTTAGATCTTTCCGTCGCCAACAACCTTCAAGAAGATCCTGCAAAACATAAATCACGAGTAAGGGGCCGTAAAGATAATAGATAGTACTCTTCCCTTCATCTTCCTCCACTAAGAAAGAACATCGAGAATGATTTTTGACACTTGAACTATCCAATCCTAATAAGCTACGAACTTGATAAGGAAACAACCGGAACTTATGAACAAATAACTGTTTTGAGCTTCATAAATGGATCTCGACAATTAGGAATCCATGGAAATACATGGAAGAAACCGCTAAAACCAACCGATGACCCATCTCCGAAAAGAAACCTAGAGAGAAGGGAGAGCAAATTATCACTCTAGAAAACTTGTGCCAGACTGGGACACCTGCTTGGTCATCTCCGGTATATCTCCTACATTGTTAGAAGTGGCTGCATTGATGCTAACATCTAACGTATGGCTGATTTTGATTTTTGGAGGCATCAATTATATTTTTTTACTGAGGCGTTTTTAAAACTTTTTAACATAAAAAGTAGGGTAAAGTGTATGAATAATCCCTAATTTTTAGGGCACTTGCATTTTGGTCACCCAACTTTTGAAACTTGCAATACAATCATTGAACTTTTATTTCGTTTTCAGTATTGTCCATGTTGTTACCTCCCGTTATTTTTTGCTGATATGACACTAAACTCCCGTTAATCCCCCGTTAATCCCTCTTCTTCTTTTTCTTCTTCTCTCTTTACATCTCTCTTCACATTCTTTGATTTTTTTCCCCTCCTTTTCCCTACTTCCATCTCTCTTCACATTCTTTGATTTTTTTTTCTTTCATGTTTTTCACTTCGAAGAAAGATTAAAAGGAATAAGAAAAAAATCCTAGAGTCATTTTCTTTAAGCTAATTATCTCCTGATAAGAAGAAGAAGAAACTATGGGTTTAACCATTTCAATTATCTTTTCAGGAGTTTGAATTTATTGTGTTTTTAGTAATCTATGTTACTCAAACAAATAGAAACGTAGATTTTGCTTCATAATGCATTTGATCAGGAAAAATATATGATCTTTCATTGCAAATTTGAGTAACTAACTGAAGACGAATCTTTATTTTTTTAAATTGTTTCATGCAATGGGACGTGGAAGGTAATGCTTTTGTGTGTATTATTTTGGTAATATTTTGGTAAATTTTGCGAAAAATGGTGAGTGGGGATGTTGATAGTAAGTTTTTCTTTGTAATATCAATGCTTTGATTGGTTCAGTTCTGCTTTAAAAGATTGTTAGAAGAAATTATTGTAATTTCCACTTGTTAAGTGGCGATGTTTAAGTGTTTAATCTTTATTATCACCATTTGAGCCGATGATTGATGAGAACTAAACCTGTTTCTTAACACATGTGGTGGGGGGGACATCGTTTGATAATACCTCAAAATTGTTCACATTTTGAAAACATGGATCAATATTTTCTTACTGTTCGAACCCCAATCTCTTTGGTTTTAGTGATTAGAATTTTTACCTTTTAGATAACTATAATTCGGATATGGTTTCGGACCTTTGGTCCATATGGGAAAAAGGGTTAACACTGTTTTATTTTTAAATTACTATGGGTTTAAGCTTTTGAAGAATAAGCTATGGGTTTAAGCTCTTGAAGAAGGAGGAGGAGGAGAGTTAACAGCGTTAAGTGTCACGTCAGCAAAAACTAACGGGAGGTAACGGTAGGGACCTTACTGAAAACGAACTAAAAATTTAATGACTGTATTGCAAGTTCCAAAAGTTAGGTGACCAAAATGCAAACACCCTAAAAGTTTGGGGACTATTTATATACTTTACGCTAAAAAGATATTTAAAATCTATCACAAAAATATTGTTTAGAATGAAATTAAGGTAATTTTTTGTGATAAGCTTAACAATCTTCAGCATACATAAAGCATTATCGTTGAATACAACTAATCGATAAATAGCAATGTTTTTTTTCTGTCGATGCATAAATTTAATATAATTTATTTTAAAAATGAATTAAAAATACCAACCAATTTAAATGTATTTTACACAATGGGATGATATGGCTGTCAATCTACAGCGGTTCTCTCGTCTGCAAGGTACAGTTTCAGAGATTCTATTTCGAAGCTCTTGGCTATGGCGTCGTGCACATTTCTCATTTTGCTGGGACTTTCTAAAACTATTTTTGCCCTGCTTTCCAGTCCAACAGTAATGTAATGACTGCTCGTCTCCATAAAAAATTCAAAAAGGATTTTATATTGATATAACTTTGTTTCTGTATTTTTTAAATAATTTTATATAATATTTTATTGTACAATACACATTGATCCCATCATCAAATGCACAGACAAAGACAAGTAGTGGTTTGCAACAGCAAAGACCATGTGCAAACAGGCCATACCATGAAAAGCTCCATGAAGAATATGGACTCAAGAGGTTAGGCATTTGTATTCAAAAAATGGAAGAGATTGTTCGTTCATGTAATCAAACAAATATAACGTCAAAAAAATACATTTAACGTTTGATTAAATAGTTATTTTAGTTTCTATTCGTTTTTTAAAATATTTTAGTTCCTAATATTTCATTTAAAAGTAAAATGTCCTCTAACGTTAGATTAAATAGTTGTTTCAATCCTCTTCTTATTTTAACATTTTAACCTGTAATGTTCTATTTTAGAACGTTGATCGTTTGTTGATTGACTATTTCTATCAACGAGTGAATCTTTTTATTCAAAATGAAATGTTGAAGGGGAAAATGCTTAAAAAGATGAAATAGACTCACCATCATATTTTTTGTCAAACATTAAGCGAAGAAGTGTGAAAACATCTAATTTGTCAAATGGAGAGATCTTTCCTTTAATTAAACATTAAGGTTATTTTTTTGTCATTATACCAATAAAATAGTAAGATAAGGGTTTTAAATAGTGTTAGTGATCACGTTTTCGGTCGCGTCGTATTTATCACAGTTGCGGATATAACGGATGCTATTGCGGCTATTGCGGATATCGTGATCGTGAATTTTTTTCGAAGGAGTTGATTTTTTTAATAAAAAAACCTGTTTTTTTTTTTAAATTAAAATAGCGGAATAACGATCCGCTATTGCCACAATTGGTCACGATCCGTTAAATTGCGGCCGCGACCCGTTAAATTGAGGCTACAATCCGCCGCTATTTGTGTGATCCCGCTTCACATCATTATTTTCTACAATAGTAGTTTCGAACACCGTCGCGACCGCGATATAACGTCCGCTACCGCTATTCGGCCGCTATTTGAAACTATGGTAAGGATACTAAAAATGGAAGAGGTTTGCCAATTGCCATCATGGATTTGGGCCAGAAAATAGCCACAAAGAAATCAGTTGGGCACTTTGAAGCTTCATAGACAGCGTTGAGTGGAGAAGCCTGAAAAGCATTCAACTACCCATCTCTTGTCCTCCTCATCAGCAGATTTACTCCCCTCAACGGCTCCGCCAAGTCACACTTTATTGCACTTCAAATGACGCCCATCTCTCACAAGAAGAATCGCTTTCTTCCCCATCATAGCTCTGAAGAAATTAATTAAATAGTTTTGGGCCGGTATACGGTCGTCTACATTTACCAAACAGTTCGAAGAAATTTTAGAAAAACAGGTCTTTCGTCTCGATTCTTTTATCAGCTACCTGCCTGACACTATAAATACGCTTATCTACATTCAACATTCAATACTACAAAGCATTTGAGCTTTTTTCTTACCCTTTTCTCATCACTTGTTTCCTGCTTCACTCTTTTCTTCTCCTTCATGGCTTTACAAAGTACACCTAACCACACACAGACGGTATCAGGGTGGGCGGCTCACGATTCCTCCGGCAAAATAGTCCCTTACATCTTCAAACGAAGGTATTTATACACCTAAATTAAAAAAAATGGATAGATAGTGATTCACTTATAATAGTATAAAAACAAAAGTGTATTCTTTATGATTTAATGTATTGTATTTACGTAAATTATATAGTAAAGTTTCGAATAAATTAAAAATATTTAATTGTTTATTTTATAGTAAATGCACTCAAAACTCAGTTTTATACTAGTATGAATGGATCATCTCCAATATATATATATAGAGAGAGAGCTAGTAGCCTTATTACTGTTCTTTTTTCTGTATCTGAACTTGCCTTACTGCTACTAACCCTGGAAGAGATGAAAAAAATAAAACAGGGAAAATGGCGTCAACGACGTGACTATTAAAGTGATGTACTGTGGGATCTGCCACACTGACCTCCACCATGTTAAGAACGACTGGGGTATCACTATGTATCCTGTGGTTCCTGGGTAAACCTTCTCTTCTCCGCTTTTTCTTCAAATATTTTTCCTAGGCAGTGTTGTTGGTGAATTATTTAAAACGATCTTCAATGATCTTAATCAAATCACTTCTGTTTGTTGTTGTTATTATTATTATAAAGTTCAGAATTAAATAGGAGTGTTATAGTCAGCGTTACTTTTGATAATTTAAATTGAATCATGGATCATTTGGGTATGAAATTCTCTGTTTTTTAACGGATTGATGCTTGTTTATGCAGACATGAAATCACTGGTGTGATCACAGAGGTGGGCACCAACGTGAAGAACTTCAAAATAGGGAACAGGGTGGGAGTTGGGTGCTTGGCAGCATCCTGTTTGGAATGTGAATTCTGTAAGAACTTGCAGGAGAACTACTGTGATCAGATACAATTCACGTACAACGGCATTTTCTGGGATGGTAGCATTACTTATGGTGGATATTCCAATATTCTAGTTGCTGATCACAGGTCTGCAACTCATCTTCAAGTTTTCATTGTCATACCCAGATTTGGAAGGTTTCTATATGGACCGTAGTTGCTAAGATTTGGTATATGTATTATGCAGGTACGTGGTCAATGTGCCGGATAACCTGCCAATGGATGGAGCAGCCCCACTATTGTGTGCTGGGATAACAGTTTTTAGCCCCATGAAAGACTGCCGACTGCTGGAATCACCGGGGAAAAAGGTGGGAATAGTTGGCCTGGGGGGTCTTGGTCATGTTGCTGTTAAAATGGCAAAGGCATTTGGTCATCACGTGACCGTCATCAGCACTTCTCCATCGAAAGAAATCGAGGCCAAACAGCGTTTGGGCGCCGATTGCTTTATTGTTAGCACTAACGATGAACAAATGCAGGTTTGCCACTCTTAATTTTACTTTCCAAGAGGCATCTTTGGTAAAACCGTATTGAAACCTGTTGGATTTTTTATACATTTATAACAGAGTGGTAAAAGGGCGCTAGATGTTATTTTGGACACAGTGTCCGCACACCACTCGCTTGGACCAATCTTGGAACTGCTCAGAGTAAATGGGACTTTAGCAGTTGTGGGGGCACCCGGCAGGCCGATGGAGCTCCCTTCTTTTCCATTAATATTCGGTACGGTTTCACCTTCCCCGGTCGATAATATGAGCAAGGAGTAATGACTGTGGGGACATGAAATTAACAGCTGTCAATGTTCCATCTTTTACAGGGAAGAGGGCGGTGAAGGGAAGCATGACAGGCAGTATGAAAGAGACACAAGAGATGCTGGACGTGTGTGGGAAGCACAACATCACGTGCGACGTAGAAGTTATCAAGCCCGACCAAATCAATCAAGCTTTGGATCGCCTTGCCAAGAATGATGTTAGATACCGTTTCGTTATCGATATTGCTGGAAACTTCAAGCTTTGAAGATCAAATCTGGATCGCTTAGCTTTCTTCTGCATTTTTTTAACTCGTTGCTATCCATTACGTTTGCAATTGGCACTCGGCAAGCTATTCATACAAATATATACATCTGTTGCCCGTTGGGTTTACTCCTATTACTACCAGCTGTTTAATTGGTCATCATAAGTGGTGGGGTGTTTCTAGAATAAGCTTTACGAATTGGCAATGTGTGCAAGTACACAATCATTAAGAAAGATAATCACTTTTTATATTTATCTATTACGTCTTTACAACCCATTTTTCGACCTAAGCAAATATTAAAAGTCTGTTGTAAGACTTGATATTATGTTACCTTCCTAAGCATCCTTACCTCTAGGGGTGTTTTGGTTTTAGTTGTGTCCTTCGCTTGTTTATGCTAAGACTTATGAGGAATGATGTTACCTTTGCTTGTAAAGCTTGATGCTTCGAACCCTCCTTGAGGTTTTCCTTCATTTTTGAGTTTCCTCGGCAGATTAGACCGACTATAGGCTAATGTATAATTTACATGTAACACAACAAGTTTTTCTTTTCATTTTCGTATTATTTATTAAATAATTATTTTTTATCGTCTTCTCGATTAAAAAGTTTCCTTTTTAATAGTACCTTTTTTTTCCCTCTCAAGAACCAACTTTGAAATTATAATGATTACCAAATATTACACAAATATGTCCATTCAGTTTTCAATTACCAAATGTTACACTATGAAGGAAATATGATAAAACACAACACTATTTTGCCATTCTTTTTCTAAATAATCATTACATCACACAATACATCAACACTATTTTGCTGTTCTCTTGGACCGCAGGCAAATCACATCCTTATTCTCTGTTTTATTGGTTTGATGGATAACTCTTGAAACTCATAAATATAAGACTAATCAACTTTCTCCACGCCTGGCATTAAAATTTAATTGACCACTCTGCAGTCTCGCCTGATCTCTTCCCCACCGGTGAGGCTACTCATTTTGGTCATGGACTTGGCGAAAGCCTTCTCAAAAGCCCTTTGCGACCACGCGAATTTAGAAACCAAGGCTTTGGTTTTCGGGTCGGTGAGCAAAGCTTGATCCGACGAGAGGAGACTCTTCCCTTTAAGAAGCAGCTTGTAGTACGCGTTGTCGAATTTAAAATTGGTAGAATCCAGGGGTGCCCCTGCGTTTCTCACCTTGTTGTGTGCCGCACACAACCTCCTTAACTTGGACGCAAACGATGGATTCAACGTCGGGTCCATCTCGTGGGTGGCGTTGAAATTTTGGATCCTGTTTTGGAAAGAAGAGCAGTGCGAGAACCCCAGAGTGTGCCCACCAGTGAGAGCAACAAGATCAAAATGGGAGAGACCATTCTGCCCAAAGCTCCATTTTAGCTGTGATATGTTAAATCCGGGAGTCGGTAACCGTCCGGTGTCACTTGCCAAGGAAATTCTTCCATCTTTCCTGCCATTGGGCACCTCCCAATACGGACCGCCAGTCTAAAAAACACGTACACATAATATTAACACATATACCAAGCAAGTAAAAACAAAGCAGTTCGATACGTGGATTATTATTATTGAGAAAGTTATTACATTTACCAGGTGGAACACACGGTCAGCTACTATGTAACCTGGTAAGAATAACCATGGTATGTATATATGTTAATGTCATGTTACTAACCAGAACAACCGCATCCTTGGCGGCCATGGCCAAGATATCGGCACAAGAAACGACGCCCGGACATTCGACTTCCAACATTTTCTTCGCATTGTCAATGACATCAAATGCATGCAATGGACGGTTAGGCTCTCCATCTTTCTCTGCCTTGTTCTTTCCTTTGGAGTCCAACAGCACAGAACCATCGCAGCCCTTAAAATAAAATAAAAACAAAAATCAAGTAATTAGTTAGCATAAGATATCTGAACAATCATGTTATTAATTTCCTTGCTACAAAATTCTTATAACATATGAAGTTTAAATACTCTGATAAAGCAATCATGAAAGTGCATTCGAAGTAGGGCAGACGGGACAGTTTTGTCATTGGACGTCGCTTTCTTGACTGCGTTCGTAATAATGGATTCATTGAGAGGGCACTTGCCGTCGTAGTAGTTCTCGCTCAGTGCTCCAATGGCAGATGGAAATGGAAACATGAGAAAAGCGAAAGAAAGTGCAACGACGAATTCCATAGTTGAAAAACAACTGAATTGACAACTAGTACACGCAGATTAGCTATAGAAGTCTGTTTGAATGGGAGGGATTGGAATATTTTGTTATTTATAATGGTGCAAAGAAGACTATAAATTAGAGTTGTTACTGATCAATAAATGCTGTTCATATTTGGAGATCAATAACTCTTTAGTTTTAGTGGAGTAGCACTGAAGCATGCTCCTAGAACGACAATCCCTATCAGATTTGATAGTGATTCACCTTTACTAAATTAATCATAAGCGTTAAATTTGGAGGGAGTTCTGCATTTTGACCATTTTCCATGTAATTTAAACAAAATCTCATTCTGTCGACTAAAATCTAAGGACTTTGTATATGATTTAACTCTTAAACTCTATATATATAAAAAGGGTTAACAGAACTGATTACAAAGGAAAACAAGCTCAGTTATGTCAGAGGTTACAGGGAGTAAAAGGGCTATCAGCGCCAATAGTTTGATTGGTGATGTCTGATTAGGACTTGAGCAAAGCGTTTCGTTGCCCTACGTAGCTTAATAAGGTAATAGTTTGATGGATGGAAGATTTGAACATTTTCGACATTCATGCAACTAAAAGAAAATTCCAGTTTCACACTCCTCGTCCTCTTCAAAAAAATATGTATAATTTAATCCAATGGCCCCTTCAATATTTTATTGCCAACGGCCTAAAATATTTATTATGTATTTAATAAAGTAATAATGAATAAATAAATAAAATCGTAAAATAAAAATATGTAATTTTACAAAAAAAATGTATATAAAAAAGAATTTTATTGATTAAACATAAGTTATAAGACAAATGATGAAAATCACACTAATCATGCTACACCAAGGTCCATTACTATGTCTTTATTTTTTATTTTATTTTTTTACTTTTATTTAAATGTATAATTTAACCCTTGATCAACTTGGCAAAAGAGATTCGGTTCATGAAATAATTTATTTGTGAGATTCACGGCAGGTTTATAATGCCAGAAGCTGTCTCTGTACCCGTTCAAGTTCTGGGAAACTCGCCTCTTATCTTTTCCATTTAAAAAAAAAAATTATATTTCGGCAGAACCTGCCGAAGGCAGTGAATAAACAATCAAAGTTTTGTCGGCTGATTTCGGACATTTGAGATAAAAATGGTAGAATTATTACAGACATTAATTTGAGAAATCAAATTTTACAAAAATGGTGAAGCTGCAATGTTTTATTGAGCTTCTTATTGACAGTTTAACTATGATCTTAAAAATAACTTCAGACATCGTCCCAGTTCTGTATATCAAAAAGCATAAAAATATAACGTAGCAGCCTTGAGTTCGAGGATTCACTTCATCTCATCCTATATATCCCATGTATGGCGGGCAGCTTTTTGTAAAATAATAAGCACGCCTCTGCCTGGAACTAGACCCAAAATCCTCAACTCCTCTTAAGGCCCTTTAGTAACCTTAGAATTGTATTTTGCTAGAGAAAGTTTGGCCAAACCCCCAATTTTCCGGTACGATGTCGTTAAATATTCGAGTCACTCCATCGGTAGTGGTGACCTTGAACGACAATGATTGACCATTGAGATAGGCATTGGATTGCCAGTTAGCCCCCCCAGTTCCTAGACATTGCCATCCACCCAGTTTTGGAGCCCTTGATGGACACGGATTGGACAGATCCTGCCCCACCAACATTGCTAATCAAAACAAGCTCAAAATAGTCTCTCCCGTTGACAGTGAACCTTACTCCACCATGCTTCTTGCATGGGACTCTGTATTATAAGTGCACCAAAGCGTTAAGAGATGAGATTTTAATGGGGGGGGGGGAAGAAATGTTATGGAGATGCTACCTTTGGAACAAAACGGGGACGATGCCGCCTCTGTAGATACCGATCTTTTCCCAGGCCGGCTGAGCCATATCGAAGTGCTGGAGAGGAGGGTTGCACCAGCCTCCGGCATTGTTTGGGAGAGCAAAGTTAGGAGGGCAAAAGTTTGTGGCGGTGATGGTGACGGATGTTCCTTTTATGCACCATCTGGGGTCTGTATGATAATCGCACATGATCTTGTAGCATTGTCCACATGAAGCCCCATTGTTGAACAAGGCAGTACTTAAAGCAGCAGTCCTTGTTCCATAGCCAGTGGAATACAAGTCCCCATACCCACAAGCTCCACCTATTGTCAATTCAAATATTAAACGATGATGAAAGTAGAAAAAGAAAATGCATGCAAGAGAAAGGAAAAGGGAGAATACCCATGGTTCCAGAAGCATCACTGCCACCGTAAAATGTGGCATGAGCTTTAGTCCAGCCAGAAGCCACGAAGGCATTCACCGTGCTCACTGCAAAGCAGAAGCCGAGTAAGATTGCTAATGCAGAAACGGCTTTTGCCATTTCTTGATGAGGTTCTTAAGACCGACTACAACTTTGGAGAATACACTGGGAATGAATGTATTTGCATTTATTGGCATTTGCGATGAGAAGAATTGGATGTTTAAATAAGGGGCCAAACTCAGTCCCCATGCTAAGACAGTCGCATGTGAGCCTTGCAAGTAGAGGAGAAGTAAACAACCAATTCATTTTAAGCAATTTAAAATTGAATTATCCCTGCAAAGACTCCAGATTTCTGAGTCTCGTTCAATTATTCCCACGTTCTCTCTCTCTCTCTCTACTCCTCCACCTTCCACATGGTCTCTCCCATCAGAAGAGCCGTGAATGGATCGAAAACCATAAGCACCAGTCGTCGTTTTATGGGTTTCTTGTATTTGAGAGTGTTCCATTTGAAGATAAAAACGACACCACTTGTCTTTTTTGCAATAGAATATTTGAATCAGATCAAAGCTTGTAAACAAGTTCACATGGCCATACGTTTGACCCGTATGAAACTAGTAAATGCACATGCATTCGTTTTGACATTAGGCGTAGGGGAGATGAGTTCTTAATCAAAGTTTCTAACTCCCGTGTTCGCATTATGTTCAAGTTCATCCTTAAAACCATGAATATTAATGCCACTTCGGAAGAGATCAAATGGTGTTTCAGTATCTTGGTAGCATCGTATTATTATTATACACATGAAGAATAATTTATTTTCCATGTGGTGGTGATAGAGGGCACCGTCAAGCAAGCGGCTAGAGGGCAGACTGAATCAGGTGGGATGGGGCTTTAACAATAAACTCAAAACTAAATTGTAGCCAGGCTTTAGCCGAACTCTATTGGCAAGCCTATGTAACTAGGGCGGCATATTCTATTTTTCAGTCGGTTGAATTCAAAGATCAAATAATCAAATTTAATTTATTCTTAAAAATTAATATAAATAAATTAAATTAAGATTTAGATCGTATTAATAAAAATATATAAATAATAATAATAATTAAATGTATTAATTTTATTAGTTATCATGTTGGCTTTTTCCTTAAATATTTAATAGTATATAATTTTATTAAGTCATTCAAATAAATAATTTAATTATGAATCTATCAAGTGGTTAAAGAGAATGTTGTTATCCTTAAAAGTTTTGGATTCGAACAACTGCATTTGTAAGGTGTATGTGCGTTATCAAAAATTAAAAAAGATTCTGAACATATACTACCTTATAATCACGTTAAATTACTAAAAATATAATTTAATTATAAAATTTAATAATTAAATAATCACATATATACTATCATTGAGATTAGTTAATTTTTAATTTTTTTAAATATAATCAATATAATCAAAAATAATTTTTTTTAAATATAATCAATATAATTATAAAAAAAGATATTATTTTACAAATTATTAAACTTCTTAAGCGCCAGAACAAATTTAAGTCTTAAATAATTTTTGAATCCAAACTCAATTGTAAAAAAATTATTTATTTTAATCCAAATCTATTTTTAAACCAAAAATATTTGTCCAAATCTTGTCAAAATTCAGATGGGCCTTCAGGTTCGAGCAAATAACCCGCTACTTTGAAATGGTGTAACCCTAAATATACACCAAATTGTTGAGTTTTACAGCAATGGTCAACTAGATATACTATAATTAATTTTCAATTTTTTTTTATGTAAAATAAATTATTAATAAATTATATTGTAAAATAATTTAAAAAAATATTTTATGGTGTTTGGATGATGCTATGTAAATCATTTCTAATTGAAAATTTTTTATAAAATTATTTATTATAAATAATAAATTTTTAATTTTTAATTTTTAAAGAATTGAACTAATTTAATCAATATTATTTATGTCAAATATTATTATTAAAATATTTTAATAATTAATACCTTAATTGAAATAATACTAGCATATTATATTAATATTAAATAATATAACTATTTATTAGTTATTTAATAATATTTTTATAAAAATATTAAATAATATTAATTATATTCTCGATTTATTATATAACTAAGAATATTGTTAAAAAATTAAAATAACTTATTACATCATATTATTAAAAAATTAATAAATATATTTTAAGCATTCTAATATTTATAATTTTATTAAAATAATACTAACTTATTATGTTTATATTAAATATATAAAATAATATTACTCATTATTAATAATTTAATAATATTATTTTTATGGAAATAATAAATAATATTAATTATATTTATACTTTATTATACTTTATTGAATTAAAAATATAGTATTATATTAATATAATATAATTAAATATATATATATATATATATTAATATAATATTACTAAATTATATTATATATATTTTAAATATTTTAATAATTAATAATTCAATTACAATTACCATTATACTAAAATATTATATTAATATTAAATAAAAAATATTTTGTTTACTTATCCTTTAAAGTGAAAATTTAAGAAAATATTTTACAAAAAATCAAATAGTAAAACACTTTACAAAAAATACAAATAAACTAGAAAAATAAGTTATATTGAGAAAAATCAAATATAACTATAAAACATTAAAAAATATTTTCTGTAAAATTAATTATAATTATAAAACAAAAACCACATTTTTCAAAAAATAATTACAGCTATCAAACGCACCCTAAAAATTATCCAAGGAAAGCAAAAAACGTCGCTTCTTTATTGATTGAAAGTGAAGCACTGTAAGTAAAACAGGAAAGAGGATGGCAACTACCAAGCTCTAGACAAAAGCAATAAAGTGAAGTTTTTTGTAAAAAAGGCTATAATTGTTCAAACATATATCATCACCATTGAAAGATAGAGAAAAATTGGAATGGCGCACGTTTATGGGTTTCTCTCGGCGTACATTAGCGGATGTCGCCCTTATTCTGTTCCAGATTTACTAAGCTCTGCAAACAATATTCAAACCTCTTCTTCTTCTCTTTCTAAAGGAAGCAGATGTCGCCCTTCTAAGAATTCTCCAAGCAGAACCCTAGCAGCATCTAGTAACAGGTTTAAAATTCTTAACTCGGTTGAAGATACTCAGTCAATACCTATTCTTCCTGGTAAACAGCCCAGAAAAGCTACTTCTGGTGTTGCCATCTTGATCAAAGAACTCAAATCAAAGAAGAAACATAATCTTGAGAAATCAAAACTTTATACTATTGGCAGTAAAGGAGGGGAACCAAATCCCTCAACTCAAGTCTAATGATCATCTCATTTTGGAATGTTAGAGGATTAAACAATCCTCTAAAATAAACCAAGGTCCTCAGAAGAGCTACTCTCTACAAAGTTGATATTCTTTGATTGCTAGAAACCCGGGTTAAGCAAGACAAATCCAGTGACATTCTAGCCTCCACTTTTGAAAATTGGAATATTTATTCCAATTATTACTTTGCCATTAATGGAAGAGTTTAGCTTCTATGGAGGAACAATCTTAATATTTCTTTATGCCATACTTCGGATCAGAGCATTACTGTTAAAAGCAACTTCAATAACAGTCCATTCTTACTTACTGCAATATATGGGTGCAACGATGGAATCACGCGAATGAACCTTTGACAAGACCTTCGCAACATTGATTCTGATTTTGGTAATCTTCCTTGGATTTTGGGAGGAGACTTTAATGTCATCCTTCATCCTCATGACTCTTCTGCTCATGAGCAACTAAGTATGGTCGCTTCCCCGGAAATGATTGAATTCCAGGAAATCTCTCACGATCTTCACCCCTTGACCATCCATTTTTTGGCCCAACTTACTCTTGGAGTAACAAACAAACAAAAAATTTCCTTGCCCTAAAGCTTGACAGAGTTCTCATCAATCCTCATTGGCCTAAATCTTTTCCTCACTCATTTGTGGAATTTCTGGCCCCTAGTCCCTCTAACCATTGTATGGATTTAGTGTCTCTTCACAAAGAGGTTCAATCAAATAGATCAAAGCCATTTAAATTCTTTAACTGATGGACCTTGCACCCAAATTTTATTAATATTGTCAGCCACTCTTGGTCTATTTCAATCCAAGGAAACCCTATGAAAAACTATTCCTCAAGCTAAAACGCCTTAAAGTCAGTCTCAAAACCCTCAATAATGACTACTACAGTGACATTTCTGCTCGGGTTAGACAAAAGAGAGAAGAAATTGAAAAACATCAAATCCTTACCTTAAGAGGCGTTGAGCCAGTTGACAAGAAGCTTGAAATACAAAATGACCTCGCCTCATTAGAGGAAGCCGAAGCAATGGTTCTCAAACAAAAAGAAAAAAATCATTGGCTAAAAGAAGGTGACAAATGTACTAGATTTTTCCTACTCAGTCATTGATTCTAAAAGGAAGAAAGACACCAGTAGAGTGATTGTGGATGATCAATGAAGAATGTTGGAAACTTTTGATGACATGTACTCAGAAGTTGTAAACTTTTTCCAAAATCTTCTAGTCACTCAAGACCCTAATATTAAAGAATGTCACTCCAAGATTCTTAAAGACCTCATTCATTCTATTCCTCTCTCTCAAGATTATGAAGGCCTTACTAGGGAAGTTACTTCAGAAGAGATCAAGGAGGCCATTTTCAGCCAAGGAAATGAAAAGGCCCCTGGCCCAGATGGATATTCTTCTCTTTTCTTCAAGAAAACCTGGCCAGTGGTTGGAAAAGAAATGATTGAAGCTATTACCTTTTTCTTCAAGGAATCTTATATCTTCCCAGCTTTTAATGCCACTACAATTGCCTTGGTTCCAAAGATACTGAACCCCAGCAAAGTCTCTGATTTTCGCCCTATTTCATGTTGTTCAGTAATTTATAAGGCCATCAAAAAGATCATTATTACTAGGATAACTCATTTCCTGCCAAATATTATTTCCTCAAACCAATCCGCTTTTGTTAAAGGAATGAGTATTATAGACAATACCCTCATTGCCCAAGAAATTGTGAAGGGTTATGGGAGGAAATCAATTTCCCCAAGGTGTGCCTTGAAAATTGATCTTCAAAAAGCTTTTGATTTCATTCACTGGAAATTCATTCCTAGCTTTCTAAAGGCTCTTCAATTCCCAAATATTTTTATAAAATGG